GAACATGTTGTGGAGAAACTGTAGCTGCAAAACATAGTGAAAAAAGGGTAAATATAATTATATAATGCTGTCTTGAAATTTGTAGATATGTTTGTCGGCATTCTGTAGATACCTGTATTGCTTGTGCTTGCATGCACTTGATCACCACCTGATTTGAATTTCATAACACTCTTCACGGAATCATCTATGAACTCTCGAAGGCTTGAGAGTTCCTCAAATACAGCCTTCCTAGAATCATCTAATTTTCCATCAACCTAATGATTAAAAATATAGTTAGTTGGTAATTTTATTCAAAGTGCCACAGTTCTACTACAATTTAACTAAGATGTGTGCAATACCAAAAGGGCTCAATATAGCATTATACTACAATTTAACTACAATGTATAACATACAATAATTATAATGGAATGTAGATAAATTGTAGCAAAAATGTCAATATATATTACCTTCTCAATCCCCTTTTCCAGCTTCCTGAGCTTGCTAGCACAGATTCAGTGTCCTTTTGACCATCTGTATGCTTGGGTTCAAATGTTGGAGAACCAGCAATTGGAACCTGTGATGATTGAGCACCATGTTCATCTTCATACTGAATCTTGTCTGGCAGAGTAAACACTCCAATCTCTTCTTCAGATTCATGCATGCTTGTGAACTGAATGATGGAAAAAACAGTTACTTCCAGTAACTCACTAAATGTAGATTAATTGTAGTTATTATGAAGGTAAATGTAGCAAAATACAAAACTGAAAAATATACCTTAACCCACTCAGGCTTGATCATCTTCTCTTCAAATGCAGTTAACCGAATCTGGCCCTTATTAGCTGACCATCTTAAAATGCGAGGTATTGAGTCAGAACACCTCATAGCAAGCTCCGTGCTGACGGTCGAGCAACACTCATAAAGCCACACTTGCAAGGCTAATGAGCATCCCCGTATGAGGTAAGAATGTACACGGGGATTTAGACGATGTCGGACAGATTCCATAACCTGATTGAAGGACTTAATACCCCATGGGTATGACTCAAAATTACCAGACTCTACTAGATAGAATCTAAACTAGTCTATGAAAGACACATGGTCTTTATCAGAAGGACAAAAAAAAATTCCAACAGATAAAGAATGCACAACTTCACTGCATCCTCATCGTTTTCCCAAGCTATTTGTTACTACATTTTTCAAATGCCACTTCTCAATCCTTTGTTTGTTCGAAAAATAGGTATTCATTAAATGGCTAATATAAGTAGAAGT